AATAGATAGCATTTATACTGCTCAAATTCCCGCTCAACAACAAGCCCTATGCGATTTACAACCTCCTCTTGGTACTCATAAATGTTCCATTCTTTACTCACAAAACCACCCCAAGCTCACTCTATCTACTCCATTCTATACCCACAAATACTGTCCACTCAATGCCCACATGATTTATTCCTTTACTCAAACCATCATGGACCACACTATCCACTCTATTCTCACATGTTTTATTCCTTCCCTCCCACAATCAATTCAATATTCATATGATTCCACACAAACCACTCTGTACTAATGTCTTTTATTCCTTCACCCACACTATCTATTCTGTAACACCCCCCCCCAAAAAAACCCAAAAAAAACAACCCAACCCAATTCATTCTTTAATTCCATATTTTTTACTTTCTCTATACCCTAAAAAATTTCCCTCCTTTTATTCCACTCTTACAATGTATTCCTCTATCATACAACTTATCCTTTCTCTCCCCCCCCTCCCCTCTCCACTCCACTCACATGATCCACTCCATCAGCTCCACTGTGTCTGGGTCCCAAAACTCCTTCAACTCTTCCAGATCCTTCATCACTGGTGGCAGCAGCTGACGAGAAAACAGAAAAACAAGAAATTTTTAAAGTTAGTTTTAGTAGAGCTTTTCCGGCGTTCGCAAATGCATAGGTCAAATGAGCGCCAGAAGATTAAAGGTGTTACAAGGGAGTAACAAACATAAAAAAGAAGGAGGGGAGATAAAGACGATAGATGTTTGATAGGAAAGAAGGAGCAAACCACAGCAGAGCACCCGCCAACCACCCACAAATTTTTAAAAAGAAAGAAACTCATTGAGCGAGAAAGTTATCTTTGTGTGTCGGGACGCAGTGGAAACAGACGCTCCTCAATTTTTGGGCATAATATGGCGTTATTGGTATCGTCTTAAAGGTCGTTCATTTACCTTGATTTTGATGAAAAAGATATCCATTAATTTTTAATATAAGTCGAGATATTTGCGATTGAAGGTGGTGGGGTCGCCTGATATCAGAGGTTAAACTAGCGAGAAAATGGCCACCAAAGTTTGGTGACTTCCATAGCTTAAAAGAGTCCTTGGAAACTGTAAATTTAAATTTGTTGTGCTTTCAATCAAAGTTTTCCAAAAAAATCCACACACAAGAGTATTTTTGTATGAACATACAAGGTGTTGAGTCAAAAACCAAAAATTTGAAAAAATTTCCAAACTGGCAGAAAAATACCGATTTCTCGGATTTCATTATTTTGACAAGCGTCTGGTTTCACCGCGATGCCTCACATATATTTTTTTTCTTTTTCTATGAAAGTTACACTAATTTTTAAAAAATTTTTACGATCAAATTTGTGAGTACACACTATCACTATGATCTGGACTCAGAAAAAAAATGGAAACGATAGGCAGACGGGATCTCTGCCTTACTGGGGCAGGAAGCAACACAGGTTGGGAGAGAATATTCTCCCGTTTAATTGTTTTAGTAAGAGTATTACAACACTTGTGTAATGTCTCTTGTTTTGAAATGTAAAAATGAGAATGAACTAGATCTATGTAAAAAAAAAAAGAAAGAAAGAAAAAAATTAAATTAAATTAAATTAAATTTTTTTAAAATATTTTTTTTAAACACAAAAAAAACAATGAACTATGTTGCGCATGTTGCAATAACGATTCTTTGATATCACAATTATTTCCCCTTCCTACCACGTCTCATATTGTCTTGTTTAGAACATGCACGAGATATTGTAAAAGAAAAACAATAAATCAGTTTTCTGGCAGGTAGGCAAGCAAAGAGGTTGTGCTGGTTCACTTCTTTACAAGTTTTAATCTATTTATAATGTGAGGCAATGGGTAGCCGTCACAACTTGCAAGACAATTAGGTTAAATAAGTGCCAAAAATTAAAGGTGTTACAAGAGAGCAACAAACACAAAAAAGATGGAGGGAGGGGAGACAAAGAATAAGGACGAAAGATGTATCTGTTTGATCGGAAAGAAGGAGCAAACCACACCAGAGCACCCATCAACCGCCCAAGAATAATCTCCTCTTAATTTGAAATCAGCAGGATTGACCCCTAACAGTAGTTACTCGACGAGTCAAATCGGTCGCTTTTAAGGACAAGCGGGCTAACCCAGATTTCGGGGGTTTCCAGAAATCTTGACCTACACCAAAAGTGAGCATAGCCCTACCTATAAGAGAAGTTTGGTTTCATTCGAGTGTATATTTGTTTGGTCATAGAGAAAACTTTCGTTGTCTTTTAAATAAACTGAACAGGGATGCAAAAACTTTACCTTCGATTTTCTCAAAACAGCATTTTTCGGGATAGCCCCCCTTTGAGCTTAAAAGTGACCAAATAATTCCCGACATGCTATGATTATTCAATCTCAAGTGAATTTCTCATTGTCTTTTGGCTTCTAATTTTTCCTGAGAGACCGAGAGGAAGAATGTTTACATGTCCTTTAAACAATGCCGAAAAAAACCCAGGAATAGTGTTTTTTGTTTTAGTAGAGATTTTACGGTGCTCGCAACTGCATAAGGCTGTCCCTGTCGTTTTAAGCAAGAAAAGTTCTGAAATTAGGCAAATTGAGCCCAAAAATGTGAAATTATATGATTCTGTTAATTTTAACAAAGAATGATAAAGGAAAATAATCAGAAATTACCCAAAAAATGATCAAATTTTGCTAAATTATGCCGGGAGCATAAAACCACTGGGACAGAAAAGGTCATATGAGTGCAAAAAGAGAGTGTTACAGACAAAAGACAAAACTGTAGTCTAGCCACACACATCAATGCTTAAAGAACCCAGTACTCACAACAGCTGTCATGATCCCCAACACTGCGACCACCACCGCATTTCGGGCAACTGACACCTGAAACAAAAGGGGAAAAAAATCTTAGTTTTAGTTTTAGTAGAGGTTTTACTGTGCTCACAACTGCATAAGGTCATATGAGCGCCAGAAGATTAGAGGTGTTACAAGAGAGTAAAAAACATAAAAAAGAAGAAGGGGAGATAAGGATGATAGATGTTTGATAGGAAAGAAGAAGCAAACCACACTAGAGCACCCGTCAACCACCCATGGAGAAAAAAAAAAATCTATTATGATTTTTGGTGATGAAAGAAGGAAAGAAAGCCACCCAACATTAATCAGATATAAGAGCTCTGGCAAACTTACAGATACTCTAAAAACATTCCAGCCACTTATTTGTTTTGCTTTTTTTTGTATTAGTAGAATTTATTTTTTTTATAGTAGAGGGTTTTACTGCGCTCGCAACTGCATAAGGTCAAATGAGCGCCAAGGGGTGGGTGTCAACAGAGAAGTCTTTACAGGGAATCAGACTTAGACTGCTCACCACTAGTTTCAACAGCACAAGGTCTGCTTCGACTATCAAGGCACCCCAAAATAGCAGGTCACAAGAGAGTGACAAACATACAAAAGAAGTAGAGGAAAATGACAATAGTAAGGATCAGGAAAGAAAAAGCAGCAGTTCCCTGTTGTAGATCAGGCACAGTTATGAGCGTGACATGAATCAGCCCATTTACAATTCTACTATGCATGAACGAGATATGTCCCCCCTTTGGGAATGGCCTAAAGACACTTCAGTCAGTGGCACTGCCCCGGGGGGTTTTAGTAGAATTTTACAGCACTTGCAACACATTAGGTCTTATAAGTGCCAAAGATTAGAGGTGTTACTAGAAGGTAACAAACACAAAACAGAAGGAGGAGCAACAAAGACGATAGATGTTTGATAGGAAAGAAAGAGCAAACCACATCAGAGCACCCGCCAACCACCTACCCAGTCAAATGAGACAGAACAACTAATTGAGACTCAGTAAACATAACATAAGTAAAAGCCTGTGTAGGCAAAGAGTTTGAGAAAAGAGAAGCATAGACACACAATAATAGGCCATTTAGAGCACGGAAAAAGCATGTTAGTTAGTTTTAGTAGGAAAGAAGATGAAAACCACACCAGAGCACCTGCCAACCACCCACGGAAAATGCAAGACAGAAACATCAGAATCAACAACACCACCACCACCACCACTAACAACAACACCACCATCACCAACCAAACAAAAAAAAAACCCTCCACCAACAAAATAACCATCACCACCACCACAGTCACCAACAACAACACCATCAGCAGCAAAAACAGCAGCACACCGAATCAACAATATCACCAGAACTAAACAAAAAAACCCCCACCAACAACATCCTCTGCAAACAACAACACTACCAGTAGTGCCCTCCAACACATGCTCCAATAACAACACCACCACCAACAACAACAGCAACACCATCATCATAAGAAAACCCCCCCCCGAAAACCCCCACCATCAACATCAACTTCGGCAAACAACAACGACAACACCACCACCACCAAAACCACCGACATACGTACTAGTGGTGGGCAAAATCCAGATAACCTATCCGTATAACAGGATAATTCTCAATGAAATGCCATCCGAATTCAGACTCTTATCTCTCTTTCCTAATCTGTTTGCTGAAGTGGGTGCACCCATTTTTTAAAAGAAGTTCTTGCCCGTTTGTCAAAGTTGTTCTAACCCATTTGCCGAAGCCGTTCATAGCACATTTGCCGAGGAAGTGTACTATCAATAATATTATCCGGATTTTGAAAAAGCGACAAATTGCCCAGCCCTAATACGTACCTTGAAACTGTCCTGTATGTTACAGAGTCGGAGCAGCCTGGCCCACACGGCCTGATCAGCGAGGCCGACCGCGGCAAGGACACAGACGTACGGCGTCCACAGATACTTCATCCGCTCCGTCATGATGGCCAGGGCCAGGAAAAATATGCTCTGGACTGCGGAGATGTTTGCTTGTTTTAGTAGAGGTTTCGGTAGATGTTTTAGTAGAGGTTTTACGGCGCTCGCAACAACATAAGGTCATATGACCTCATTAGAGGTGTTACAAGAGAGTAACAAACTTAAAAAAGAAGGAGGGCGGATAAAGACGATAGATGTTTGATAGCAAAGAAAAAGCAAACCACACCAGAGCACCCACCAACCACCCACTTTTTTTTTCTTTTTAGAGCCCGGCTGGAATAACAACATAAGTGACCCAGAGATACTTCATCCACTCCATCATGACCGCCAGGGACAGGAAAAATATGCTCAGGACTGCGGTGATGTGGAGAAGAAAGTGGGGAAGGTTGGTTTTAAAAGCCTAGCCAGGTATAACAACATAAGTGACACACAGAGAGAGGACCTGTCAGGACGGCCAGGGCCAAGAAAAATATGCTATGGACTGCAGTGATGTGGAGAATGTGAGGAAGATTATTTTTAAAAGCCCAGCTGGATTGATAACAAAAGTGACCCAGAGGGAAAGAAAATAAGCATTTTAGTAGGGTCCTTTTTTTAGTTTTAGTAAGAGTTTTACGGAATTTACAACACAATAAGGTTATATAAGTGCCGAATATTAGAGGTGTTACAAGAGAGTAACAAACATAAAAAAGAAGGAGGGGAGATAAAGACGATAGGTGTTCGATAGGAAAGAAGAAGCAAACCACACCAGAGCACCCGCCAACCATCTACTTTTTTTTTCTTTTTAGAGCCCAGCTGGAATAACAACATAAGTGACCCAGAGATACTTCATCCGCTCCATCATGACGGCCAGGGACAGGAAAAATACGCTCTTGACTGCGGTGATGTGGAGAAGAATGTGGGGGAGGTTGTTTTTTTTAAGCCTAGCGAGGAATAACAACATAAGTGACCCAGAGGGAAAGAAAAGAAGTAGGGTCTACCACTGTTGTGCTCTTCTTACTACCCACTAGGCCATGTAAGGACAGCCACATTCATTGTTGCCCGATATCACAGGAAGAAATCCTAACATTCACACATACATTGTGTTTACTATATTCGGACCTGTACATCTTCAGAGAAATATTCTCCTCTGCGGATGTGATGTATTGGTCATTGTCAGACATTGACCGAAGAGCTGTTATTACTACAGACTTCAACATGAGTTAAGGACCACCTTGACAGACAGCCCTGATTTTTTAAAGATCCGAAAAAAAGACAGCAAGGATTGTTTCAAAATGTTTTGCTCTGAAAGTGTCAATGGGTTACCAAAGTGTACTGCAAAACTTCCTAAAAGGCCAAAACCACCACGTGCAGCATGGAAATCCTTGGGCAATGTTAGCCACATTTGCAGTTTTTTATCGACTTGTGTGTGACACCACAGACATTCCTCGGTTAAAATTTCTGGTGCATGTCATAAACAGACGTGCGGTCTCGAACTGTGCTCACTTTGGGGGCAATATAATCCGCCATTTGTGCAAAATTCAGTATCGCATCAACATACCACCATGACAAAAACTGAGAGACTTTGATCGAGCCAGAGCTATGGCATGGCTGCAGAATGGAGTTGGAGCCCGAGAAGTTGCCAGAAGGCTTGCAGTGTCACACTCAGTCATTGTCCGCCTGAGGCAGCGCCATAAAGCCACTGGATCAGTCCAAGAACGCCCACGAGCAGGTCGACCCAATAAAACCACTCAGAGTGTTTGCAAGTGGTCCTTAACTTATGTAGAAGTCTGTATCATTACATCCTGTGTCCAGTAGTCGTGACAAAGACAGTTACCTGTGTGGAACAGCAGTGCCGAGCGAGAGTTGTTGTGTGATAGGTCACTCAGGTCAGGTGGCTTCTCGGCTCTGTCGCCACTGGACGGAGGAACTCTGGATAAAGGAAACAATAGCAAAAACTGACCTGCTTATGATGAATGAAATACTATTTTAGTTGAGTTTTAGTAAGCGTGTTTATGGCACTTGCAACACATTAGGTCATATAAGTGTAGAAGACTAGAGCTGTTAAAAGAGAGTAACAAACACAAAAAAGAAGTAAAGATAAGAACCATAGATGTTTGATAATAAAGAAGAAGCAAACCACACCAAAGCACCTGCCAACCATCCACTGCTATTTTAGGGGTGTGAATTGTTCATGTGTGTATGGGTGTGTGAGTGTGTGTGTGTGTGTGTGTAAATGACCATTATAGAGACAATGTGCTTCTCTTTGTTCAAAAACATCCATCTTTTAGAACTTTCTCTCACACAGATACTCACACACACATACACACACACGCACACACACACACACACACGCACACACACACGCACACACACACGTGTGTGTGTACGTGTGTGTGTGTGTGTATGTGTGTGTGTGTGTGTGCGTGTGTGTGTATGTGTGTGTGAGTATCTGTGTGTGTGTGTGTGCGTGTGTGTGTGTGTGTGTGTGTGTGCGTGTGTGTGTATGTGTGTGTGAGTATCTGTGTGAGAGAAAGTTCTAAAAGATGGATGTTTTTAAACAAAGAGAAGCACATTGTCTCTATAATGGTCATTTAGCCCATGATAAAAAGACAGACACACACAGACAACAGCAGGAAAGGAAAGAAGTCGTACTTACATATATGGCCCCCTCCAACCACTTGCACAACCGGATACAAACATGTATGTGCATGCCAGTGTTTTTTATCCACTAAAACCCTTTTTATCTGTATAAGTCAATTGATCCCCCCCCCTGGATCAACCTTTCCCCAATTTGGTTTGGAGGATTGTTCACACTCAATCACACAAGCAGTAAGTTCATCAAATATGAATATGAAACATACAAATGGTCGCTTTTAAGCACAAGAAGGCTATCCCGAAAAATGCTGTTTTGAGAAAATCGAAGGTAAAGTTTTTGCCCCTTATTCAGTTTCTTTAAAAGACAAGGAGAGTTTTCTCTATAATCAAACAGATGTACACACCAGTGAGACAAAACTTCTCTTATAGGTAGGGCAATACTGGCAATACCCACTTTTGGTGTAGGTCAAGATTTCTAGAAACCCCCGAAATCTGGGTTAGCCCACTTGTCCTTAAAAACGACCAAATATGAATATGAAACATACAAATATGCTTTCAGTATACAAAGAATTCTATGAGTGTACAAATCTAACACTCCAGTGACAACGCCGCTTACCTCCACCGTTTGAACACGGTATAAACGAGGTATCCAAACATGCCTACATGGGAAGCCACGTAGAACGGCAGCACAAAATTGCTCATGAGCCGCTCAAAGATGTCGGTCCCCATAAACTGGAAGATGCCGAGACATAGGTAGAGCTGGGAGTCAAAGTCTCTGAAAGGACAAAAAGAATTGCGCTGAAAATTGGCGTTAAGATACTTGTTTACTTGTTTACTTGTGTGAAGGACCGACATCACTGCACAAGGGGCATTCCCATAAGCGCTCCGTCCCCTGAAGAAGCATCTCTCGAAGTGTGTAGATGCTGACGGTTCCAAACAATGGTTGATTCCATAGCCTTCTGCTCCTCCCACTAAGATTCGAGAGATGAACACATCTATTATTGTCTGTTTCAAGCATTCTTCTTTTCCTCTCGCTATTATTATTATTTTTTATTACGACTTTTTCATAATTGTACGTCATTCTCATAAATATCCTCATTATGACTACTTCTATCATTGTACATGGATCCTGAAGTTATTCCCTTCCTCTAAGCTTCATTGCTATTTGAAAAGATAAGTTATTTATCCCATTCCGTTGAAAATATAATTTGAACTGCACGCGTTTTGTCAAGAACCTTTGATCACTTTTATTATATTGTTCTCCCTACATATGAACCATTCTTTTTGTAAAGAACATCTAAAAAAGTGTAGTATTATTATTGTCATTCACGACTTCAATCAAAAATCCTCAGTCTGTAGTCTACGATAAAACACTCCCTCAAAGGACACACAACATCACAGTACACTCTCGGTGAACAACAACCTTCCTTTGTTATTTTTAGAAAAGAGTCTTACGGCACTTGCAACACAATAGGGTTATATAAGAGCTGAAGAATAGATGTGTTACAAGCGAGTAACATACACGCAACAAAAAAAGGGTGGGTGGTTGGCGGGTGCCCGGTGTGGTTTGCTCCTTCTTTCCTATCAAACATCTATCGTCCTAATCTCCCCTTCTTCTTTTTTAAGTTTGTTACTCTCTTGTGACACTTCTAATCTTCTGGGCTCATATGACCTTATGCAGTTGTGAGCGCCGAAAAAACTCTACTAAAACTAAACTAAAAGCACAAAAAAGAAGGAGAGATAAAGATGATAGATGTTTGATAGGAAAGAAGGAGCAGACCACACCAGAGCACCCGCCAGCCACCCACATTCACGACAAGTGTTGGTAAAATTTTATGGTAACTGAACCACAAAAAAGGTCATTATAAGAGCTGAAGATAAAATGTGTTACTAGAGAGTAAAAGATACCAGAGAGTAACAGACAAAGAAAATGAAGGAGGAGAGATGAGGACAATTGCTCGCTTTTAAAGACAAGCGGGCTAACCCAGATTGGAGGGTTTCCAGAAATCTTGACTTTCACCAAAAATGGACATTGTTCTACCTATAGAAGAAGTTTGGTTTCACTGGTGTGTATGTTTGTTTGGTTATAGAGAAAACTCTCCTTGTCTTTTAAAAAAACTGAACAAGGGGCAAAAACCTTACCTTCGATTTTCTCAAAACAGCATTTTTTGGGATAGTATCTTTGTGCTTAAAAGCGACCATTTAGATGTTGGACAGGAAAGAACGAGCAGACCAACATAGAGCACCCACCAACCACGGACACTGACACATTCCTTTTCAGTATCTCATTCTCTGAGGAGACATGGAGTAAAGCAGACTATTAGAAGCATCCATTCACATTATATTTTTAGATTTAGTTTTAGTAGAGGTTTTACGGCGCTCGCAACTGCATAAGGTCATAGAAGTGCCAGAAGATTAGAGGTGTTACAAGAGAGTAACAAACATAAAAAAGAAGAAGGGGAGACAAGGACGATAGATGTTTGATATAGGAAAGAAGAAGCAAACCACACCAGAGCACCGGCCAACCACTCACACATTATATTTAGTCTCCGTCCATCAAAAAATAAAAAGGATAAAGGCCAAACAGACGCTGCTGTCCTCTAAACACCCACCTTTTATCTCCAACACCAAATTTGTTTTGAAGAAATTTGAATATGTGCTCATCAGAATCCACTTGCAACAAAGCCTGGAGAAAAAAGTAAAATTTCAAAGTATTATCTGCAACAACAAAAAAATGCTTCTCCACTCTTAAAGTAAAAAGTATAGCATTCTCTCCATGTGCAAATTTAAGGGAAGATCAGATAAATTTTTCTTGGCGGTACAAGAAGGGTAAAAACACATGAAGACATACATAGAATTTATATTATATATTATTATTTTCCTAAAAATTCAACATGAAGAGAATAAAGCTGACAATAACACACATATCACACTGATGTAGGATGGGAAGAATTTTAAAGTCCAGGCTTCTTTTTGGTTTTTTGTAGAGGTTTTACGGCGCTCGCAACTGCATAAGGTCTATGAGCGTCAAGGGGTGGATGTCAACAGAGAAGTCTTTACAGGGAATTGGGCTTACTCTACTCACCTCTCTAGCTTCAACAGCATAAAGTCTGTTTAAATTTTCAAGGCACCCTGGAAACAGTGGGTCACAAGAGTGTGACAAACATACAAAAGAAGTAGAGGAAATGATGATAGTAAGGATTAGGAAAGAAAAAACAGCAGTTCCCTGTTGTAGTTCAGGCACAGTTATGAGCACGACATTGTTGAATCAGCACATTTACAATTCTGCTAATGAGAAAAGTCCCCCCTTTGGGGATGGCCTAAAGACACTTCAGTCAGTGGCAATACCCCAGGGGGGACCAGCCTGCTTGTATACATAACTGTAAAACAAACATTAGATACTAGAGTACACTCTCTCATGAGAGAAAGAAAGAAAAGTAAAAATGAAGCAAACTTTAAGTTTGAAAACTACACAAAGACAGTAAAAAAGGAAATAGGAAATCCATTTAACAACTGAGAAACATGGGTTGGGATCTTAAAAATATATACTACATTTGAGTAGGCTACCATTTTCCAAAAGCTCAACGAAATATCAAAATGAAA